TGCAAGCAAAGCTGTGCCAGCCATGCCTGCGAGCATCCAGTCAGCCAAGCTCACCATCCCTGGAACTGATCTCAGCTGGCTCTCTTTCGAGCACGTGGATGGTGAAGAGGTCGCTGTGTGCTGGCTGTGTAAACAGGTTGCGCGCACGCCTGCGGAGAAAGCTGCAAGACTGGTGCGCGGCTGCGATGCAGGGAGACTCGACAATATCGGCCGCCATGCAGATGCCAAGCAGCACGTGCGTGCGCTGAGGGAGCTTGGCTATCTGGAAGCCGAGGGAGAGGACGAGTCTCTGGCACCGAGCATTTCGCAGTTTCGTCAGACACTCGAGCGTTTGCCTGGGCAAGCCTTCAGATCTGGAGTGAAAGGCGTCGGAGGCGAATCAAAAGTCAAGAAGATGGTCTCATGTTTGGGCGACGCGGCTTCAATGATGGACTGTGAGATCCTCAAGAACTCCTGGAGCATTTTGCTACAATGCGACATCAAAGAATTGAGGCTGGCGGTCCGGTACCAATGCTGCACAGCGGATCTGCAAGTGCGTCGTGGCCTACTGGGGATAGAAGACGTGGAAAGCAAGGCGCATGACCAAGTGATGCTGGGGGTCCAGCGCTCTCTTGAAAAAGTCTGCTCGTGCAACGGGCAGCTAGACCAGGACGCCTTGTCTTGCATCCGGGACAGGGTAGAGGTCCTGAATGCGGACGGCGCATCGGATGCTCAGCTCGCACTGGCCGAGATGCGGCGAACGGCTTTTCCAAACATTCTTTTCATACTTCGGGACAAGGCACACGCTAGCCGGAGACTGCTATCCAGACCTTGGCATGCAATCCCAGAAATCCACGAGGTGTATGACATGATCATCGGCAGTACTGCCAGCTTCACGAGCAAGATACAACACAGTGACGTGCTGACGCGGGCTTTCCAGAGAAACATACAAGACATGGAGGCTGTGCCGTCCACCGCTAAGAGGATAAAGAATCTCAGCCTGGCCCGCCACCGTTTCGACTCGTGTCAGAAGCCCCTGGCGCGCTTTTGCCTTTACCTGGAGGCCTACATCTGCACAGCCATCGAAGCCGCTGCCGACCCCGGAAAAAAGGGTCACTTGTCTGCCCTGACATTCTTGGACTGGGCTACGGAAGACCGTCTGCTGCTCCTCAGCTTGCTTGCAGAATGCGCCGAAGAGAACCTTATGCTGATACGCTATTTCGATCGTGAGGGCTGGGATGCCGCAACACTTCAGTACCACTGTCAAGTTTACGCATCCAAGCTTCGGTTTCTGTTTGTGCAGGGCCACGCGTTCCAGTCTGGATACACTGCCCACGTCATCGCCCAGCTACAGACTGCCAAAGGCTTCATGGTCAAGGGGGTTCGGAAGACACTGGGCGGGCGGCCCATCACAGACGCTACTCGGGAAAGGTGTCTGGAGATCATGCAGCTCTACACACGCCTCGCGCTCGAGACGATGGAAGCTGAGATGCCAGGCTTCGAGACTCTGGCCTCACTGCGCGTGATGAACGTGTCTTCCGGGAGCAGTGTGGAGCAAGTGCAGGCAGACGCACAGGACTGCTGCCACGATTGGCTTCTTGCCGTTGCGTCTTGTGATTCGGAGGGGATTACTGCGGTTCGGAATTCTTGAGTCCATCTTAGGGTTCCTCCTGTAGTTGCTCCACCGCGCAGGAGTATGCCGTGTCCTTGGAGCGACTGGCCCAGGTCCTGGACTTGGATGTAGAGCAGCTGGCGCTGGAGTACTCGCTTCACGAACCCATTGCAAGGCATGAGGCCAGGAGCCCCAACATGTCCAGCTACGAATCTTGGCGTACAGCAGTGCTGCGGACGAGGAGTGCTGCTCCTGCTGTGAGAGAAAAATTTCCATCTGAGAACCTTGCCATTCTGGTCAGTCGCTACGGTGCCTGGAGCGGCGCCAGCACCAGCGGCATCGAGCAGCTCTTCAGCCGACTCGACAGCCACATTCCGCCAGATCGGCGGCACATGTCGCCGGGCCTCTACTTTTCAGAGGCGAAGCTTCTGGATGTCACTACAGAGACCGCCGACGACATCATCAAGATCGCGCGCACGCTGTGGGCACTGCGGTCGGGGCCGCCTCGGGCTTCCTGCACTACACGCTTGGACAAAGGCATCCCCAGACCAAGAGCGGGTGACTCCGAGGCGTCCTTTGTGCGCAAGCGTCGTCGCTTGATTGATGGATCCGCGGACATCGTGTCTGTGCAGCATGCGCTGCAGGAGGTTCAAGAGCTGACCGAGGCGCACGTCATGAAACTTCATAGGAGTTCTCTTCTTCCATCATGACACACCAGCATGGTTAAGTTCTTTGTGTGCAGTAACACAAACAACATGAGGAGGCGGTGCAGGCGCAGCCTTCGGTCTCGAAAGAGCTGGCCTTCGTTGCCAGCAAGAAGACGAGGAACGAGATCATGGCGTTCATGGACGAGGGCTTGCTGCCAGACGAAATTCCTGAAGACATGCTTCTGGTGGTCGATGCCTTTCTAGCCCACGACGATAAGCTGCGGAAGGAGCGCTTGGCCAGGGCGCGGGCTGTGGATAAACTGCTCAGGCCAGGGGCACCTTCCATCGGAGATCGGCCCGTCTTTCTCGAGGACGCGTGTTGGGCGCAGCAGAGTTGGGCGCATGGGCTGCGTGTCCAGCCGGACAGAGCCTCGGCGTCAGTCTTCATTGCAAGGGATGCAGCCGAGCCGGGTGAACGGACTCTGTGGACGCTCGCAGTCCAGGGTGGAGTTGTGGGAGACGTCCAGTGGGCCCAGTCCCGTGGGGAGTCGGGCGTGTCCTTTTCCTTCAATGGTGCTAATAAAACAGCAAGGCGCGTGTACATTTGCGACGATTTCTGGTTGCAGCATCGGACCTTGGCCGACATTGTCTGGGAGGGCATTGAAGCTGTCGGCTCCAAGTGGAAGCCCGTGGACGACTGGGATGAGTTTGCGGAGTTGACCGCTCAGGCATCTGGGGAGGGTGTTCGAAACAAGCGACCCCTGAGTGTCATTGCGCTGACGATGCCGGACACGTGTCGAGTCTTGAATTTGAAAAATGTATTTTGCAAGGCCACGTTTCTCGACTTCGCTACGAAGTCCCGGGTGGCATGCACACATTTCGGCATGTGCGGCAAGTGAGCAGGCAGCTAGCACACGCCTCCACTTTTGCCGGCAGGCCAGAAGCCGCAGTAGTAA